TGTTAGAATGGGCTAGGATGCGGTGGTAAAGGACCTGGAGGAGGAGGGGGCAAGGGTATTTGTCCCGGGGGTACCAGACTGCCCGTCGATAGATGAGACAGATTGGCAAACAGGCCAACGGCAGTTTATAAAGGGAAAAGGGAAAACCCCCGGTTAGGATGAGGTATTTAACTTTAATTGGGCGTGTTAATTTAGGTGAGCCAAAGGGGGCTGTTGATTGTTGAATGTCATTCATTACTTTGATAGCTGGACCTTGGTAGTCAGACTCAGGAGGAGGAGGAGGGAGTGGCCAAACAAGGGGACGGAACTTGGTGGCTAGCTTTGGGGATGTAATCTGAAGGTTTTTAGCAAGGTAGGGGGAATGGAGGAGAAGGGTAAGGCCTGCCGGAGCCGTGCTCAAGTGGGCTGGTGTCCCTTCAAATGCTGCAAATTGGGTCATAGAAATCTGAGTATTGCCAGTCAGCCCTGTCATAATCTTCTGCAGGACGGACATTTGAAAGGGAGGAAGTCTTGAGTACTGAGCCATTGTCTTGTGGGGTTGGACAGCTTCTCCGGGCAGATAGTGTCAGGATTGGATTGCGTTAGAAGATATCCTGCTGACGTGTTTGTTTACGCTGTGTGAAGATGTGTCCTTGTGGTTGGTTTAATAAAAAGCTGAATGGCCAGCAGCTAGGCAGGAGAGAATGGGGAAAAGAGAGAAACTCAGGATGAATTCAGGTGTGTGAAAGACAGGCCAACGAGACACGGAGGGAGTCTGACATGCAGAATAAAAGAAAGGTATAAAACCACGTGGCAAAAACACAGATTAACAGAAGCAGGTTAGTTTAAGATATTAGAGCTAATGGGACAAGCCCAAACTAAGGCCAAGCTTTCATAATTAGTAATAAGTCTCGGCTGCCGACACGAAAATTCAACTATACTGATGTCTGAGGGAGAATTCCCCGGTGTGAGAAAAAGTACACTTGTGTGGTGCCAGTTACATTGGCTGATTGTGCAAGGGGGGAAAAAGGGTAAAATTACCTTTGTGTTTTGTTGTCTGCGTCCCTTAGAGGCACCTTCACAGAACAAAGGCCAGAGGAGTGGCCAACAGGCTGCACAGGAGGAGGCTTTAAAGAAAGGAGGATTAAAAGAAGCCTCTACCTACTTGCATCTTGGGATAAAATTCAGGACAATGTTAGCCGCTATTTCTTTTTGTTGTTAGTTTTAAGTTTTGAAAGAGTTTTGTCCTTCTGCCCTGGCTGGCCTTGAACTCCAAACCCTTCAGCTGGGTCCCCAGGGGTGTGACACCACCCCTGGCCAGGTGGCTGTTTTGTGTTTGTGTTTTGTGTTTGTGATTTGCGTTGTCATCTACAGAGGTTGACAACATAAACCTTTTAAAACAGCAGACATTGTAGACCCCCTTGAAGGGGAGTTGGTGTGAAGAAATGCGGCCTGCTTTGAATATAGTTCCTCAATCAGGCCTCAGAAATGAGAGACAGTGGGTTGAACCACCAGTGGGTGTAGGATAAAGAAATAAATGGGAGCTTGTTGAGGCTTCAGAGATCCACCAAGGAGGAGCTGGAGAAAGCTCTGTGTGCTCAGACTCTCTGGGAGACCCCACAGGACTGGGTCTGCCTAGACACTCCACCTAAAGAAGGCTCTAGGCTCACCACACAAAGGTGCTGACCACATGAAATCCAAGGACCTCCTTCACCACCACCAATCACCCTTCAGTACATGAGGAGTGGACCTCTAAAGGCCTGTCTCCTTCCTCTTTCTGTTTCCTCCGGGAGAGAGAAGAAGGAAAGGGAAGAGCCTCTGGATTGCTTTGAAACAAAGATGGTGGAACTGGAGGCCCATGAGGGGAAGGAGCTGGCCCTGGCAAAGCTCGCCGGGAGGTGAGAGCAAGCTGAGAAAGGTTCGTCAGGGGGTGGGTCGCTCCACCCTTACTCCCTTCACGTCTAGAAGGGGGTGGGTTGCTCCACCCTGACTCCCTTGGACATCTAGAACTCACTTCAGCTGATTCTGCTGCCAGTATCCAGGGAGCAGGCTCTAAATCAGCCCACTCTCTCAGTCCCCTCACCAGGAGAGATTCGGTACCCAAGTTTGTTCAGGTCCATCTGCCTGTCTGGAGGAATATAGCAGGGTAACTGGAGGTGGGAGGAAAGGAAGAGAGAAGACTGCCCCCGGGGAGCACTTGGAAACCAGTTTAAGATTTCTGTGATGGCAGCAAGAGGCCTCCTGGGGACACTTAGCAGCAAGGCGGAGGACTGGCAGTCTTGTCTGTGGAGCAATAGCTCAAACTCTCACCCATTCGCCGCTGAGATGAGGTCCCCGTCACTAGAAGACTGCTTCCGACAGGTAAGGAAGACGCCAGACGAGGGAGAACACAAAACTCTGTAGACTCATTAAACCATGCGTTGCAGCCCCAGTTTTTTTTTTAATTGCTGTATGCTTACTGTGTTGTACAAAGAATGGCAATTAGAGTCATATGGCCCTTAAGCAAAGGGACATATTAGGCAATTTTATAGCTGTGTAAACATCACAGGAGTTTATGTAATCCTGGATGCCAGCCTACCATATATCTAGGCTGTGAAACTGTGTGTGTGTGTGTGTGTATGACCAACACTAAAAATGTATTTAAGAAGTCATGCAGAAGCCTACTACTTTATAAGCTAACTAAATAGATATTTTTATTATGAATAATATTTACACAAATTTATTTTATATTTTATATATTTTATTATATTTTATTATAATATATTTACATTTTATAAATGTAATGATCTTATCTAGTTTATATTATATATTTTCCATTTATATGTTTTGTATATATAGTAAACATATGTATAATTTTATATACATATACTTTAAAAATCAAATGGATCTTGAACTTTGTGTGCATGGTTAATGCTGCTCCCAGATGTCACAGGTTTTTTTTTAAACTGAAATTCCAGGACCTGATATGCGATGCCTGCCTCCCTGTAGGTTATTGGCTAGGGAGTTCCCTAAACAACACAGGCTGTGGCTACATCTCTTGGTTGTCCACCAGAACTAGATGGTAACACCCAATTGCTAAAGACACTACATAAAAAGAAACCAAGACCTCCCAGATGGTTAGCTTTACCAGTGCCAGAAGGTACTATGCCGACTGCTAGGGGAGAGAAGGCATCAACAATCTTACCAACTGTCGTCTTACCTGCTCTCCTACCAACCTTCCAGACAAGGCGGCACCCACGGTGCAATAGTGGCATGACTGTTCTGGGAGAAACCAACTGCCTTCTGATTGGTCCTCTATGAGAAAGAGTCCTAGCCTGGTACCGTGAACCTGGTCAAAAGCCTAAATTGAAGTTGAGCGGTGGTGGTGCACACCTTTAATCCCAGCACTCAGGAGGCAGAGGCAGGCGGATCTCTGTGAGTTCGAGGCCATCCTGGTCTACAGAGTGAGTTCTAGGACAGGCTCCAAAGCTACAGAGAAACCCTGTCTCAAAAAAACAAAAACAAAAAAATGCCTATGTTAAGGGAGGTCACAGCCTCTATAGGAAATCTACTACTGATGTTCTGCTAAACTGATATACAGGCAGCCTCCTCCTAAATATTTGTGTTTGTGTCCATTAGACATGTATCATTCCTGGCCTTGGTCTGAGAACCGCTCATGTCAGTGAATGACGGCTAAAACAATGACTCAAGGGTTTCAACTTCCGTACCAAGACATTTTTAATATTTATGTTTGTTTTATAATTGGTGCATGTGTGAGTTGTCGGGGGCTGTGCATGCCAGGGCCAGCTTATAGAGCCGTCGCACAGCCCTTGATCAAATAATGACAGAATTATAAGTGTAGATTTAGGTGACAGTTCCATATGGCTTTTTAGAAGCCAAACGAAGATTGATCTAGAAAACTCAGAATTCAGCACACACCTTAAATCCCAGCACTTGACAGGCAGAGCAGGCCAGTCTCTGAGTTCGAGGCCAGCCTGGTCTACAGAATGAGTTCCAGGACAGGCAGGGCTATACAGAGAAACCCTGTGTCTCAAAACAACAGAAAAAGAAACCCCAGTGTTCAAACATCAGGGTGTGCACACAGAACAAGCCAAAGCAGCACACGAACAAAGATGGATGTTTGCTTGGGCTGAGCACGAAGCCCTGCCTGCCATGACTGCTGTCTTGGAGAAAAGGCTGTGTTAACTGTACCCAGAAAATTCCCTTCATGACATGTATTTTCACAACAGTTTACATATTAATAACGCAGTTCAAATGAACAAACTAATATAAAAATTTTACATGTATAATTTTGCAGGGCTGACTGTATTTTTCTCCCAGAGATGAACAGAATCTCATGACCACTCCTGCCTGAGAAGCACAAGATATTATTTTCTATTTAATAACGTAAGATCTGAAGCTCAGCCGAAAGCCGACTGAACTCCATTGTAGCAGAAGGCGATTTAACATAAAATGCAAAGTCTAGACTTTGAAGCTAGAAAACCCTGCCTGTGCGTCCTCATTCTCACACGTGTGAGACCTTGGACGACTTCTTTTCTTTTCCCTGAATTCTTTTACCGCATAGAACTGCGATGAGAAACCAGAGGCCTTCTCAGGACTGGCATTTAGAGGTTTCCAGATTGAGCATGCGCGTCGCATTTCCCTTCTAAAAGAAATACATTTCAGGGGGATGAGAAGAGACGATAACGGAGCAGCAGCGATGTGACATAGGAAGACCGGAAGTGGTTGGAAGCCCGGTAACCAGGCAGGAGAAAGGCAGAGAGGAAGTGGTTAGGGGAGACAAACTGGGCTGCTCCCACAGAACCCAGCAACAGCTGGGACCAAAACCCTGGAGACCTGGTAAGGTGCAGCGAAGCACAGAGGGAACGAAGGGCGCGTGAGAGGCCTGTGGGCCAGCCCAGAAGCCGCTCGGCAGCTCTGAGCCCCTGTCCGCGTTTCCTACAGGACTTTATGAAATAACACAGACGAGGCACACTGCCAGCCCCAAAGTTGTGACTTTAAAAAATACTAATAACACTAACCTTGCCAGAGGAAGAATGAGCGAGCCGGTCCGTATCTGCAGGGACCTCAGCCAGTTTTCACTCTGGCCTCTCCAGTCAGCCGGGACTCCATCAATTCGAAGCTGAACAAATGGCTCATGAATTCTAATCCATTCTTCTGGTCTCTGCTTTCTTCTTCATGCTGGGAGGCCAAATTATAGTATTTTATTATTTTGTCTCTTTACTGTGTGTTTTATTTATCTCTGTTTGTGCTGCCTAGTTTCGGAGCATTTTTTTTTTCAAATGCTTTACTTGTTCCTATTGCTGTTTTTATTCATGGTAAAAACCCACGGTGACTGCAATGCACCTCTCCAGCCTTCCTGCTGCCCTGCCAGCTTCCTCAGGCTGGAGCCGAATGCTGAAACTCCGTTCGGTGCATTGACTTCAATGTTTTCAGAGCACATTAATCCTCTTCTAGAATTGGAGATTCTGTCCCTGGCTGCTTCATGTAGGTCCTATAAGCCAACCTTCAGGAACCAACAGACCAGGGCAAATGGAGAACAGACTTCTAATCCACTTGTCAGTGAGCGTCGTCCACCCTTCTGTCTGGATGGAGTCTCTTGGACACAGTGGCCAATACACAGTGTCCATTGGCCGGAGGGGGGCACTTAGATATTGTTTACAATGTATTGTATTTTCATAATGTAACACAGTGACTGACACATAGTAGGTACTCAGTAAACACTGAGTGGATAAATGGGTTGGGGGCGGGGGTGTTCACTCTGTAACAACTCTGGCTCCTGAATGCTGAGATTAAAGGCAGCATGCCTGGCTCTTGGCAGATGTTCATCTACAATCTAAAGATGGATCTATCTTATAATGATGTTAATCTGTGAAATCTCCAGGCAGCACTTCGAGTAGGGGCCCCAGCAAAGAAGGGAGGAGACACAAAAAGAGTTTTAATGACAACATCCCCCTTTTGAACCAGCTAGATGGCTTGGCAATTAGTAACGCCTGTCCCCCAACCTGGCAAAGGACCCAGCTCCAAAGGTGGAGAGAGAGGTCTGACTCTTGTGATTGTCCTCCAGCCTCCACACACATGTGGGGACCCACACACATGCCACCGCACACCCACACAAACTGATGGATAAGTAAACGTATTTGTAAAATTTTTTACATATCTTCTCACCAATTTCTAAACAGAACTGTTGCCGGAAGTCACACCTCACCTGCACACCCTTCCTGGCCTGGCCCTGCCCAGCACCAAGACACATTTTTTTTCCACTAAGTATTCCGAGACCTGCTTCTCATTTCTCTTCAAGCCTCAGCTTCAATGGCAAGTGTGGCTCCCCTGATGGCGGAACATGCTCTCTGAAGACGCGGGACTATAATCTTCTCTCTTGTAACCCAACCCTTGATGTTGACATCACATTTGGCAGGTTTGTATCTTCTCTTCTCAGCCTTGCTACAAACTCGCCGAGCAGAGCCTGTGCCTCCCTCGTATTTCTCATTCTGTCTATCCTGGCTCCCCCTAAGGTGAGCGGACTGTTCTCTCTAAACGTGTCCACTTCCAAGGCTCGATTCCCAATCACTCCGTTTCAAAGCAGATGAGGAGATAAGACGAGGCCAAGAATCCGAGATCATAAAGGGTAGAAAGCGCCCAGCGGAGATGGCTAAACCCCAATAGGATGCAGGTTAATTGCTTCTGGAATGCGGAATAAATGAAAAACACGGTGATGCTGGGGGAAACAAAAAAAAAGCAAACGCTTGCAAAACAGTTTAGCAAGCCCTGCTTCCTTTCTCCCGTCCTTCTGCTGCTAACCTGAGGGCTCCCTTCCACATGGCCTCCAACAGCTCCAACAGAACCTCCCGAGGCAGGAGCTTGGTTCAGCTCAACGTGGCTTAGAGAACGGAAACGCTTAGCCAACCGGAAGTCGTCGATGGATTTTGCCCATTGGGAGGACCCGAAATTATAATTCCCGCCCTAAAAAGTCCATCGTCTCCTTTCAAACTACGCGTGAGTCTGGAAACAGAAAAAACCACCCAGCGAAAACACGTGTGGACTTCTTTGGGAGGAGGAGTTGTAAGTCTGTCAGGGGCTCAAAGGGGTCATGCTATCAAAATGCTACAGACCAGTCTTGGGTTAAGTCTTTGATGCCATCGACCGTAGAGCCTGACCCGGAAGTTCAGAATGGGTGCCCAAGGAGACATAGTCAGAGATAAGACAGTATGACCCAATTTCCCTGAGCCCTAGCTGCCATTTTCCCTCCTGCCCTTCCACCCTGTTCCTTTTGCTGCTGCTGTTGTTATAAAGAATTGTTCTTTGTGGCACCGTTTGCTCTTCCGGGATTTGACCCGTGGCATATTTCTTATGTTTTGCTCCCTTACGTTTTCAGCGCCTTCCATTTGCCTGCTTCCCCTCACCCTAATGATGCCCACGGAGATGTAATTTTCTCGCTTCTCTTTTTCTATTACCACCTCACCTGGCCTTTGCTCGCTCTCTTTTCTGCTACACGTGGCATGTCTCTGGGTGCCCCTTTGTCCTCGCGTTCTGATTTTATGAGAAGTGTTTATTTCCATGTGTTCGGTATTTGCCTGGATGTATTCTCAGCGAGCTGATGGTAAAGCCCTTCTCTCTCAGCGGGAAGCTGTTGCTCATAGCAATTACGCCTGCTGTCTCCCTTTTCATTTCCCTTCAGCTCGTGATGAAATTGTGCTTCCAGAAACCCCATGAATTCTTTCTGAAACTCTTACGTAACTCGGTGTGTTCAGCCATCTCTTTTCCATCCATATATTTTTTTTATGTTTGGCTGGGCATTTGGGCTCATTTCCCCTCCAAATAATTTGGTGATGATTTGATCTAAAGTTTCTCTCAGTCTGTTGATGATCTCCGACATCGCTGTGGGTGGCTTCAGTGGCCATCAGACTCTCGGCTGAATCATTTGCTGCAGAGCGAGTCTGCCCTGCCCGTTTTGTTCTTTGTGAGTCTATTCTGCTGATTTCGTTTGTCTGTTTGGGGGGAAGTTCTCGCTGCTGTCGTGTGATTCTGAGAGGGGAAAGGAGGGTTACTGTCGGACACAGTCTTTGGGCTAAGGTCGAGAATGTGCCCTTGAATGTCAAGTTAAATTCATTCTATCCTTAAAGAGCAAGACTCCATGCGTATTGTGTTTCTGGGAATGATTTTAGAACATCAGAATTTTACTACTCAGATTTTCATCACTCTAACAACATACCTGGGATGAGAACTTGGGAAAAAAAAAAGGGTGGTGAATTTTGTCTCATAGATTTGGAGGCTTCCATCCATGAGGTTGGGTGGAAGATGGTTGTCTCTGGGTCTGCGGCATCATGACAGGGAGTCGTGGTAGAGGAAGCAATTCACCTCATGATAGTGGGAAATAAGGAAAAAGAGAAGGTGACCAGGGCCCCACTAATCCTCTTCAAGACACACCTCCATATGACTGAAAGACTTCCGGCCAGGCTCCACCCCTTAAAGGTTCGCCTACCTACATGTGGGCTGGGAGACGTGCCTTTAATACATGGGTCATCGAAGGTGACTAATCCAAGCCGTTGTGCGGACAGTGTTTCACTGGACCTGATATGCAGGTTTCAATATGGCCATAAATACACTAGTGCTTGAAATGAGTCATCAAGTTCGCGTCCTCAGACTCCACAGCAATAGCCTTTGGCCTGCTCTGCTCTGGAAGTTAGGGTCTCCTCACTAGAGAGGAGCACTGGGAAACTCCAGGTGGAAGTCAGGTGCTTACAGTGCCAAGCTGCAGCTCAGAAGTGGCCAGAGGAGAAACGGAAAAGGGTTGGGGATGCTGAGGTTTAGAAAAGGAGAGAGCAGCTCGGGTCCTGGCGGCCCTTCCTCTGAACTGTGCCTCCAGAGTGAATGTGCCTCAGGAGCAGAAGAGAGGCTGATCCGTGGCGCACACGGAAAGGACAAAGTCATCCTAAAACCCACTTCACAGAGAGGTAGCACAGGCCTCTCCTGGTCATCTCAGCGATAGGGCTGAAAAAAAAAAACCCACAGAGTCCAGAACGAAGCCTTTCCAAGACATGAGGCAAGGTCTGACATCCACAATGCTGTCACTACGGCAGTGGCCCACACCCTACTCATTCTCTTCTGAGTGCTAATGTACCCTTGTGAACCTTGAACCTATTCAAAGGGCAAGAGGTATCAACAGGCTGGTACAACCGCCTGTGACACACTTGATAAGCCTGGGGATGTGACTCAATAGTAGATTACTTGCCTCGCCGGTGTGAGGCCGCGGAGTCCACCCACACCCCTGCGAAGAAAAGGAAGAAAAGCTCACTGAAATCATTCATGTTTCCCTGTTATAATGAGATTTAGCTGCTCTTGTTGGTTTCCCAGCACCCACACCTGCAGGTTTACAACTGTCTGTAACTACAGCTCCAGGGGACATAACACCCTCTTCTCCATAGACGGCTGCACACCTGTGTGTATATATACACACACATGTACATATGATGTGGGATTTCCTTCTGTGCACTGTGATTACCATTAATGAATAAAGAAACTGCCTTGGCCTGTTGATAGGGCAGAACTTAGGTAGGCAGGGAAAACTAAATGGCATGCTGGGAGAAAAGAGGCAGAGTCAGAGAGAAGCCATGTAGCCCTCCTGGAGACAGACACCAGAACTTTACCGGGTAAGCCACTGCCACGTGGTGATACACAGATTAATGGAGATGGGTTATATTCCGATATAAGAGTTAGCCAATAAGAAGCTAGAGCTAATGGGCCAAGCAGTGATTTAATTAATACAGTTTTTATGTGATTGTTTCGGTGCTAAGCAGGCAGGAACAAACTAGCAGCCTCCCTCCAACATGCATACATTAAAAAATAAATAAATAAATAAATAAATGAATCTTAAAAACAAAACAGAATCTACCGCCGGGGCTGGAGGGATGGCTCAGTGTTTGTGAGCACTTACTGCTCTGTCAGAGGACCAGAACTCAGATCCCAGCATCTACATCAGATGGCCTACGAATGTTGCCTAGGGCTCCATCTCAAGGGATCTGACACCTCCTTCTGGCCTCCTGTACCACACACACATACAAGTATATGTTCATATAAGTAAAACAAGGTAAGTGAGGTTTTTTTTTAACCCACTTGCTGTTAATGAAGCATCCAAGAGGAATATCCATGATCATCTGTCTGAAAACCCTGCCGATCCCCTT